TGGGTGGGTTGACAGGTAAGCAAGACTTTTGAATAATAAATACTCTCTCTTATAACCTAAGAGGGTGGAGGCACATTTCCAATAGTCCAAGGAAGGCAGACCTAAGAGCATTAACTCATCAGAGGAAAATATTGCTAGTACCAGGACATGCTAGAGTTAACAACAATATATATTTTGCTCTGCTGTGGTTCTCACCCCAGTACATGATTTAATAGGGTTTTACTCTGCAGTTGGGTAGAGGAACTGTCCGAAATGTGACAGATCCCTTGTAACTTACTCAAGCATTTCAAACTCAAAGGCTAGCAAGGGCCAAATAGACAAGGTTTAAGTTTATGTGGGCTGCAAAAAAAAAACAAAAAACTTACATTTTCATAGAAACATTTTGAAAAGTACAGTATATAAAAAAAAAAAACAGCATCCCCGTCTTCAACACCCCAGCACCTGCCTCTAAAAAAAATTTAAGCAAACAAGCAGACTTCACTCACATTGCCGCTGCCAGTATGCAACTCCGGAGCCCAGCATCTGGTATACTTCAAATGGCGCTGTCCGCACCCTGTGCCAAAGTGGATCCACTACTCCTTGAAACCCTGTGAAGGTGGAGCACGTTGACAATGTGAGATGGCATTGCGTGCCGCCATGCACCTCCAGATCCTCCACTGTCCAGCCACGCCCATCGCAACACTGACCAACACACAGTCACTGACAGACACACACACTGACAGACACACACACACACACTGAGAGATACACACTCTCTGACAGACACACACACTCACCGACTGACACACACTGACAGACACACACACACACACTCACTCACTGACAGACAGACACACACACACTGACAGATGCACACATTTACAAATTCTTGCACACACTGACAAATCATTTTATTTATTGCTCCCTACCAGGGTCTTTTCCCTGGGGTGCAGTGGGGATCTTTTCTCTGGAGATCTCCCTTCCTGCTCCTCACTGCTCTCTCATGCACGCAGTTTAGTGATGCCAGGCCGGAATGACATCATATTCCGGTACCCGGCATAACTACAGAGGGCGCGCGCAAGGGAGCAGTGTGGAGCAGGAAGACTCTGCCGCCAGTATCCTCTCCCCGCGGCCTGGTAAATTTTAGCCGAGTAGGCACCTGCAAAGTGGGGAGAGCAGGTGCCTACTCTGCCTTAACAGTAAGCATGTCAAAAAATATTCATTGTGGGTTGTGAGTTTGACATGCTTGAGCAAGCTCAGTGTAGTTATTCTCATTTTCATTCTCTCTGACTCTCTCCTACCTTTTCACAATTTGCACTTAGTAGGTTCACCTCCCAGACTTTCCCTGACTAAGGCATGCCAGCAACCTCCCAATCAGGCTCAGTCAGCCTGGGAGGGGGCAGGGAGAAGAGGCAGGCTACAGATTGTATTGTCAAGGATGGAGACAATCTGCCAACTGACCCTGGAAGCAGCAGGGTCTTCTGAGCACACAAGGGAAAGCAGTGCATTTAAACAGCAACCTGACAGCTGCTCCACATTCCAGAGACTCTTTGCTTCCCTTCATGAAATAAATGTAATGGGCTCTAAAAAACGGAAAATTAAGCGTTGGGGTAAAGAAATTAGAAATTGACCCTTTGAAGAATATTAATAGTAATATTACATGTTTGGAGAAACAAGAAGCAAAAATAGAAATGATTACTAAAAATGTGTTAGAAAGACACATTATTTTGGTGCATAATAGAAATGGTGGAAAAGGAGAAACCAATTTATAGAATATATTAACAGTTGAGTTTTATAATATCAACTCCTCGGAGAAGGACAGGGTTTCCAAAATGTGGATGTCATCCTACAGGTTGCGCAGGAAAGTATCCATTATTTTTATAGTTAGCTTTCAGTTTGGCTACTCTGGCCTTAACATTTAAATTCACTTTGAATTCACTCAGAATTTTCACTTAAAAGGACAGTTTAGGCACCATAACTATTTTATCTAAATTAAGTTATTATGGTGCCAGGAGGCGCCTGGCTCACTCTTATCTTAAGGGGTTAAATCGTTTTCAAACAGTTTAACTCCAAAGTTGCCTCCAGTGCCGGTCTCAGGTCTTCCCCAGGCGAGGCATCCAGCTTCTGAAATTTCAGGCAAGAGTGAGCCCCCGGGGCCTCCTGGCACTATAACAACTTCATTTAGATGATGTTGTTCTGGTGCCTGGAGTGCCCCTTTAAGTAAGTAACCATGAAAGTATAATTTGACTATGATTGGATTTATTTAATCCAAGGCCAATTCCATGTAAACCCCCTTAGCATCACAGTTTTAAACTTGGTCAAGCATGAATGGCATAAAGGTGCGAAACAGAGCTGTAGAGAAGTGCGTACACCTAAGAGTTTCAGATTATGCAAAAATAAGCAGGAGACCCTTAACAAGTAACGGTAAAGTAGCTTGTTAAAAACTACCTATGTGCTTCTTACAAACTGGTAAGGTAATGGACTGAAACCAAGTGTTTTAGAAAGTACATTCCAACCACCATAACAATTTTTGTGTCATTTATTGTACAAGGAAGTTCTGTGTCCCATTGTCATGCTCTTCATTAAAATCCATCACAGGGCAAGTAATTAAAGGAGCACTATCGTGGTAGGAATACAAAGATGCATTCCTAACACTATAGGAACCCTCTAGCCCCCCTATCTTTGTGCCCCATCCTTCGGCATTATAGAAGGATAAATAGCTCATTACCTGTACCTGAACATGTACCTGATTCCAGCCGATTAGCTGATTCGGGCCCCCCTCCAGCCGATTAGCCATGCATTAGCTATTTCCCACGGAAAGTTTTAACCCAATGCTTTCCTATGAGGATTCTGAAAACGCTGGACGTCCTCATGCAAAGTTTGAGGACATCCAGCATCATTTCATGGAGTCAAAATCCATGAAACAGCAGGAAGCGCCTCTAATTTCCGTTTGGTAGACAGGCACTAGAGGCAGTCTTAACCATGCAATGTAAACATTGCAGATTCTCTAGATGGCTAAAGGGGCAGGGACAGTGCACACAGACCATTTCAATTTTATGCCCCATTCTTTATTATGAAGAAAAATAAAAAAAATGCCTCAAAATCTTCTTTTGCACCTCTCCAGATACAAAACAAATCATCAATTTAACTGCGATAGGTAACCAGGCTACGTATCCAGATCATATCATCACGTCTGATGAAGCTCATGTGATCGGAGCGAAACGCATCACAAACGGAGCGTCATGCATCACAAAGTATGGGAGGAGCAAATCCCGGCGTGTGGATAAATAGCACCGAACTACCACAAGAACTTTGAAGAGGGGTGGAGCATTAATGCCAGAATTATATGTGATTTATATGCAGTTTTTAACCATTATATATCAGTAAATATTGTTCAATATCACCTTACGGGTGATCTTCTGTCTTTTCCCCTTGTCCTGTAACGGCATACTCGAAGAACCAGGCATCTTGAGATTCATTGGGATTTCCCCTCTCCATAAATGTTAATTCACCCATATTTTAGGTATCTCTGGTAAAATTGACTTTGTATCCAAAGAACAAAGAAGTCTCAAGGGATTTATTATTTGTATATAAGGAGTATCTTCACCATGTAGTGTTTTTTTTTTTTTGGCACATCAGAATTTTACATGTAAGAACTTCATATTTTATATCACATTGTATGTAGTATTTAGCGCAATGCTGTTTTATGTTTTTTTGGTTTTGCACTATATATTTTGGAGTTTGCAGCTGTGTCATTTTTTGGCTTTCAAAAAAAAAATTTATGTTTGTAATCACCTTGCACACGTTTTGGAGTTTTGTTTTTAAATATATTATCTGTTTTTAAATGTTTAAAAATTGGGAGTCTATTCAGTCTGAAGTATCCCTTTAAACTAGAGAAAATAATCTTGGGAGATGAATTAAGCAGTCCTTTACAGAGGAAAAGGAAAATAAGTTAATAAATAACATAGGCTTGGGAAAGGGAACATGTGATTGTGTTACTGGAATATTTTTTTTCTCTATCTTTAAATTTGATCTTTGTTCTTTCAAATACAACTGGTTTTGTTTAAGTCATATTTTCAGTTGTTTTTATTTCAATGCATCCTTAAACCTTTTGGGACAATTTCTAAATTTACATCTTGGTAGATTCTAAAGATAATGTTTCCTTCTAGATAAGAATTAAACGTTATTTTTAAAGTGCAGTGACATTTCAATTTTTCCTATATTTACTTTCCCTTGTATGCTTTCTGTTGTATTTTTTGCAGCAATACGGAATGTTGTTATGCATTCCTTTGTTAAAATGGTTTGCCAAAAAATGTTTTCTATGAATTTTCCACAGTGTTCTGTGAATGTTTTTTTTTCTATGTTTGGGTGATCAATAAGATAAAGCGACTGGTTTGATTTAATGCAAAACACACTGTTGTTTTCACAAAATTTATTTTCATAATGCAAGGAAGGAAAAATCTTTAAAAGCAGGCCCTTTTATCGGTTCTGTTTTGCTGGGTTTTTTTTTGTCCGCTTTCTATATCACCATGTATATCACATGTGCATTAACAGTTAGTGAAGTGGGCAGTTTTAGGGCAATTTGAGGTTTGGTTTACCAACCTGGCTCTAGCACATACAATTTATAGAGACATGCTAATTAATATAACCACTATAGTTTCTCCAGAAAATCTGCCTTGAAATTCTGATTTATTTTTTTTTGTTGTAAATGTTTCTAATAATTCTGAGAGAACTAGAATTCACACCCTACATACTGATTCCTTCTGAGCTGTAATGGTTATAGTGCTTAGAGTGTTCGCTTAAAGGGACACTATAGTCACAAGAATCACTACAGCTTAATATAGTGGTTCTGGTTTCTATAGCCTGTCACTCAGACAACCACTAGTGGTGCTTCATTTTTCAGTACTGCACAGTGTGCAGAGCCTACATTCAGCATTTCCACGCTCTGCATGGAGGCGCTGAACGCTCCCCATAGTGATACATTGATTTAATGCATCTCTCTTTCCTATCAGAAACAATTGATTGAATGGACTAAAGCGGGGCTTCCAGAAAGGTAGGTAAAATACAGTTTTTACTCTATTCTGAGTGGGGCCGGGAAAACTAAACATGTAGTTTAAGACTATAGTTTTAGGAATACATATTTGTGTCTTGAAACCACTAATACAGACAGGGCCACAATGGGATTCGGTAAGTGTAAACCTTTGATTTTGATTTGTTTAAAAATAATATTAATCAATTATGACTTAATATTAGATATGGCTAAGTGGGAGTCTACCTGTCTCTAATCCACCCATAACCCATACAGAAGACATACTTATGTCTGCTTGGAGAAAAGGACTTATACCTAACAAATTGAAAAGGAACAAGCAATCATGAAAAAGCCATTTACAGTCACAAAGCTACGGAGCTATAAAGGTAGAAACGTGGGTGGGTTTTGAGAATAGGTCACAGGACTGATATTGCCATGATAGCTCATGCACACTGTCTTGTTTATTCAGTAAAGTGAGAATTATCAGGAATTCAAATTGAATTTCTAAATTCTATTCCAAGGTAGCCAAACTGAAAACGCAGCTGACTTGGAGATTTTTTTCAATTTAGCTATTTTGGTCTTAAATTTTAAATTCATATTAATAACTGCTAATCATCGAAACACGGGTTGGGGAACGACACCTTGTGTTGATTTCCTTAGCAATTAAATGATTCATTCACTACAATCCATTGCTTAGTGAATATACCCACGAGCTGTACCATTATACTCTATCAATATATGAAAATAGACCAAATTAAACAATAAAACATATTTGGACATATGCATTGCTTCTCCATGTTTAATAAACATCAATTCCTCTCACTAAGTGACTCTAAGCAACCATGGATATTCCTAACCCTATATTTAGTTACAAATGTGTTATAAACAATAGAGCGAGTGAAACAGCATCTTTAATGGCTCGACCAACAGAAATAATGCCCTTTTAAGTCACTGCAACTGTAAATGCATAAGTAAAACTAACATAATGCCACAATCTCGTATCTGTTTGTTCAGGCACAACTGATGTTCCTTTCTGTGTGTGTTCCAAGCATTGTTTGCAGAATGAAGGCTTTTAGCACCTGATTACCCACAATGCAGTGTGGCTGTAAGAGCATGTTGTAACTTTGTGCTTTTTTTTTTTTTACAATGATTTTGATGTTGAAATAGTATAAGGTAAATAGGATCTGCACATCAGTATCAGGCATTTCATCAAGTGTAAATTAATATTATATTTGTTTTTAATCTAAAGTGGGATTTATTCAAGAGATTTTCATAAGAAGATGCTCAGATTATTACATTTACAATGCAAGAGTGAGATTTGTTGTTGACTTTATGAGATTATAATGTATCAGTTTTCAAGAATTACCTATTGTTTTCTGTTTGCTCTGTTCTTTAAGTTTATTGCAGCGTTTTCTTTTTTTATCTTATGACAAAATATTGTATATGAGTATTGAACAATGGCTAAGGAGGCTCAACACAATATAAAGCAGAGGTTTTTTTTTTTGGTTTTTTTTAAAGGCAGATGTCCAGATATTGTGGAACTACAACTTTGATCATGCTTTGCAAAAACAGCAAAACACTGCCTGCATCAGTGGTGTATCCTGGTTTTGTGCTGCCCTAGGCAAAAAAATTCTCAAAACCCCCGCGCTACCCCCACCCACGCAACCGCCACCCAACCCTTCCCCCCTGCTCCCCCTTCTAAATACACACACACACACATTCACTGACAGATACGCATTCACTAGCTAACTCACTCACTAACAGACACACACACACACACACTCACTGGCAAACACACACTCACTAACAGGCAAACACTAACAGGCAAACACACACACACTAACAGGCAAACACACACACTAACAGGCAAACACACACACTAACAGGCAAACACACACACACTAACAGACACACACACTCACTAACTGACACACACACACACTCACTAACAGACACACACACACACTCACTGGCAAACACACACACTAACAGGCAAACACACCACACACACACACACACACACATCCACACACACACACACATCCACACACACACACTAACATCCACACACACACACACACACACATACACACACATCCACACACACACACTAACATCCACACACACTAACATGTGTTTTTTTATGTTTTTATTTAACCCCCCCAGCCTCCTTACTTTTGCTGGGGGGGTTCTTCCTCTCCCTGGGGTCCTGGGGTCCTGGGGTCCAGTGGCTGCAGGGCGGGCGGGCGGCCGGCCGGCCGGCGAGGGAGCTCTTCCCCTGAGCGCTCTGCTCAGCTCCCTCGCGCGCCGCCATCAGAGTGAGGCTGGGAGCCGGAATATGACGTCATCAACCCGGCTCCCAGCCTCACTCTGCTGGCGGCGCGCGAGGGAGCTGAGCAGAGCGCTCAGGGGAAGAGTTCCCTCGCCACCCGCCCAGCGCTGCCCGCTCAGCATGTCTGTTAGCCGCGAGGCTAACAAGGCATTTGCCCTGGGAATTTGGGGGCGGCTTTTTTGCCGCCCCCTGAAAAATGCCGCCCAAGGCAAATGCCTTGTTTGCCTCGCGGCTAATACGCCCCTGGCCTGCATTTAAGACTGACTTTAGGAAAACATTACACGCATCATAAAATAATACACATTGAGGCTATAGTACACGTAATCTTTTATTTTAATAAATGTTTTCATAGTATTACAATAGTATTTCCTTAACTAGGACTCTTTTTTTTTTTTTTGCTGGATAATGTCTTTCCTTTATGCAAATGCAGAAAAACATGGTCATGACTTCGCCTTGATGTCATCAAAAAACTCCTTGTGGTTCTATGGAACATTTCTCCCATGAATAGAACGTTAGTTTACTCTTCAATTTTTAGATCGCTCAGTTAAAAAGGATTCCTTGGCGAAACAAAGCCTAACATTATCTGTGTAAAAATAGAATGCCAGCCTTTCATTTCTTCACAATGTACAAGCTATATATAGCTTTATAGTGCCCAAAAAAGAACAAACTACGACAAGACTAAAAAGCAAAAAGAAACAGGGCATGTCATTTCTGGAAAGCTATTAAATAATGAATGCCACATGTGTTTAAAGATGTAACGAGGAGAATAAAGCTAAACCTATCGCGTGATTTAAGAAAATAAATATAGTAAATACGGAGGAGGACAACCACGAGGTCAAATACTGCTTTCTCCTCCATTCCTTTTCCCCCCATGTTGTTACCTGTTTATGTTTTTTTTTATTACTCTTTCTCATTTTATGTTTTCAGGGGATTTATAGAACTATCCATAGCCACTTACAATTCTCAAATATACCAGACAGATGTAGTATGATGCGGCCTCGAGGGGTTCTTCATAGATCTCAATGCTGTACTCTTGTGCATTCGTGAGAGTACAGCCACGACGTTGGCTCCTGGTGCTGAAGCATCAAGAGCTGAAGAGGACTGACCCGAAGAAAATGGCAGTCCTCATGAGGGACAGGTTCAGGTAAGCAACACTCACCTTTTCCTGCCACTCTGGCCACCGGACCACCAGTAGAATAAATACTGCACCAGTCAACGAAATGACAATTCGGAATCAATCTAAAAAATACAAATAACATAACATAGTGCAAAATGTATATATATAATGACAGACCCCTTATGTAAAGTAAAACTCACAGGATTTAGAGCTGTCCCAGGCTCTATATAATATGCAGGAGGATGCCTAAGAAGGCTAAAGGATACAAAGTGCAGAATCCAAAATTTATTAAACAAATAAACAATTAAAACAGGGACAATAAGCAGTGTATAAACACCGGACCACCAGCAATGATGTCACTGTCGGGGGTCTTTGCAAAATATGCAAAGTCCCGAGAAGGTGACAGTGCCCCTTTAATGATGAAATAAATAACTAGATTAGCAAATTATTATAAATAATAGATAATTAAGTAAACAACTAGAAAAGTAAAGCAGGGTAATGGATATTATTAATGGCCCCCTCCATCTCTTTAATCATGTTCAGTATGACACCAGTGGAAGATAGTTTATTATTATTATTATTAATTTAGTTGACATGCACAAAGCAAATGAACTTAAATATACAAAACTATCTAAAAAATGTTCAACTTTCTTTTTAGCTGGAAATGAGGAAACAACCTTGCTTAGTCATGTAACGTTGAAATTCTTACACTTTATATGGTATGTAGATAGTCACTTCCTGTGCTAATGTTTTAGCAGGTACGATTGCTCTCATCTGAATTAGCACATTGGGCTAATGTCACAATTTGTCCTAATTAAGTTCCTTCGCTGCTACCAGAAATTCAGGAAATTTTGAGGCATTCTTTTGCAATTTTGAGGCACATCTTAAATTCCCCATTTAGGCCTTGATTTAACAAGATTTCCATATGTTTCAATGCCGTTAGAAAAGTTTCCATGTGATTTATCTACATAAGTCACTATTAAAATCTATAGGAAGTCTTTTCACTCTGATATCTCTTTATTTACATTTAGTAAATTCAAATAGCTTAGTAGATCCCAAAAGAGGCTGGAGATAGTGCTACCTTATTCCAGAAATTACCAGTTAGGAATGTCCTACTTACATAACCCCTACTGTGTCTTCCTCCTTGGACAAATAGTCATTGTAGGTTGGTCTCTACATGTAAATGTGATTTCGGTAATTGTATTAATTCCTGCTCCTTCTAGTAGAAACTTCATGTTTGCACAATATCTTCAAAACAGAAATAAGACTTGTTTAACCCTCAGGCAGGGGGTCTATTCACCTGCTAAGGACATCCAGGAAAGTCTTTGAAACCAAAAAATGTGTATGTAATTTTTTAAAAGGAACTCATGGATAGACCTTATCTCACTTGTTTTACCTAATCAAGTGGGTCTCTTAATTCATCACTCAGCCCTCTCTTACCTCATGCAAACAGACTTTTAAAAGAGCTATTTTACATTATATAAACATATTATTTGCTTACACTTTAAATATGTGTTAAGGTAACAAAAAATCAATACAGTGTTTTCTTTTGATGGCAGGTAGACTGACACAATAGTCAAATTTAGATGAAATATATGTTTTTATTGTATTGCTCTAATATGACATATGTTATTATCATTATTATCATTTATATAGCGCCAACATATTATGCAGCGCTTTGCTTTTATAGAAAGAGGATATTTAGAGGTGAATAATGTATAGCCTATATCGAGCAAGAAACCAGCATGTGAGACTCTATCTGCTGATGTACAACAGTTAGTGAAAGTATCTAATATGCACGTATTTCCTCAATTCTGAGTTGGACTATACAATCAATCTAGTTTGAAAACGTCAGAAATTCAGAAAGTCAGATTGGTAGAGTTTATTTCACTCGGTCCCTAAAACAAATGCACCATCAAGGCCACTGAAAACTTAACTACAAAGAACAGAAACCTGCACACTATACTTAGATGGCTAAATGCTTTGGCCATTGGTGTTAGACCGAACTCTCTAAGAGTTTAAGATATCTAAATAATGCTTAAAATAGGACAACCGGGGAGGAAATCACATAAAACACCAGAAAATGTACTTGCTAAACTAAAAATGACTCTCAATCCTAGATCAGGTGCCTTATTGGAACTGCATTAAAGGAACACTATAGTCACCTAAATTACTTTAGCTAAATAAAGCAGTTTTAGTGTATAGATCATTCCCCTGCAATTTCACTGCTCAATTCACTGTCATTTAGGAGTTAAATCACTTTGTTTCTGTTTATGCAGCCCTAGCCACACCTCCCCTGGCTATGATTGACAGAGCCTGCATGGAAAAAAAACTGGTTTCACTTTCAAACAGATGTAATTTACCTTAAATAATTGTATCTCAATCTCCAAATTGAACTTTAATCACATACAGGAGGCTCTTGCAGGGTCTAGCAAGCTATTAACATAGCAGGGGATAAGAAAATCTTAATTAAATAGGTCTCTCTTTACAGGAAGTGTTTATGGAAGGCTGTGCAAGTCACATGCAGGGAGGTGTGACTAGAGTTCATAAAAGAGATTTAACTCCTAAATGGCAGAGGATTGAGCAGTGAGGCTGCAGGGGCATGTTATATACACCAAAACTGCTTCATTAAGCTAAAGTTGTTCAGGTGACTATAGTGTCCCTTTAAGTATAGAGCAAAAGAGGGAACTAGTCTGCCATATTAGTAGATCAGGTGTGACACAAAACATTTGCACACATATATACGCACACACAAGCACATATATTTATATAAATATAGTACTCCTTTATTACCAAAACTGTATTGAACATGATATGGAAAGCAATAAAACTAAAACAACAGGAACACTAGATTTTCAAGAACAAGCCATAGATTGTAATTTGTAAACTTGCGCATACTGAAAAAAATGTGTTTCAGCAAAACCACTTTGTCCAAAAATGAAAAAATTGTGGGGATGGGCAAATATCAGCCGTATGGTTTTATGGTAGTTTTTCCCCTTGGATAACACATTAGACAAACCAAAAGGGTATAATATTTCTGTGTATATATATATATTGCAGTACAATAATAGTTGTGTTTGCTTATAATCACAGGTCAAGTGAGAAAAAGTAAGCAATATTATGGCTAATATTCTTATAGCTAGGGGACAGGCACTAAATGTTAATTAATTTACAGATCAAATGAGCAGTGACAAAGAGGAGAAATAGTAGAGAAGTAAAAAATAAAATATGTTCTTATATTTCTATATTATATATTTACTTTCATTTCTGCATATAAATATAGATTTTTCTTTTTACTGCACCTCTTTTTTCCCCTCTATTTGTCACTTCTCACTTGACCTGTAAATGAAAATAACATTTAGTAGCTGTCCCCTAGCCATCAATTATCCTTTTTTTTCTATCAATTGGCTTGTTTTTTAGCACTATGAGCATAATTATGAATCTCAAATAATAATTGTCATGCTCATCCATTGCTTTACTCGTATGGTTGTGATTTGGCTACATTTCTGCTTGGAATTCAGGAATTTATACAATCACCCATTACACCCAAGTTCAAATGAATTGCAGTTTGTAACAAATCTCTAAATCGAGTGTTTCTTATTATTAATCTGTTATGTCAACTGTTGTTACACTTTCCAAAGCCGAGCTATAACCTTTCGCTCATTTGGGAGATCACATACACATTTTTAATAGACTTGTGTTACTACATAGCTCCATGATCCAGACAAAAAAAAACCCAATAAAATACACCACAACAAGTTAGAAAATAGATTTCTTTATTTGCATTTACTACTGGGAAAATGGTCAACTAAATGATTGGTTACATATTATGAGTTAGAGCTGTTGGGACATGTTTCATGCTAAAAATATTTAGGGCACACCCTTTGTACATTATGTAACGTATACACAGTACTGTGTGGGAGAATGCATGATGCACTGCTGGCTCACCAACATCCACATCACAACTGCTTTGCATTCTCTTCAAAGACTTGTGTTATCAAAATATATAACACATAATTCATAGGTTTGCTAGCATTCCATTAACTTGGTGTTTGCATGACCACAATAGCTTGTGCCATCAAAGCACACGTTAATGGCCCTTTAATGTGAGATCTCCTGACCGCATAGCTCTGCACAGCATCCACATTAGCTGAGCTAAGACAACCAATAGGCAGCCATGTCTCTGTGTCTTTTTAACAAAAGTGTGAGGGTGCATACTAGGCTGCCATAAGCACAGAGCAATGCATAACCATGAGAATACTCATTAATGAGAGAGCAATGTGTGTCCTGCCTTGGTGCTGCTGTAACAGTTCTTAGCTTGTAGCTGCCCAGTGAAGTGGCCATACATGTAGTTTATATGTCTCTGCCACTGGCCAAATGGATAGATGTATAGGCTAAAAATATAAAAAAATAACAAATGCAATATCATTATATTACTATATAAAGGTAAAACAATTTACTTACACAATGGCAACATACAATATTTATCTCCAGGTTGCCTTTAGTTTATTCCAAAATGGAGTCCATCTGAAAAAATAATTAGGCCTTAAATACTCCCCCACTTCAGTTCTGGGATTAAGCCTCAAACAATCAATGAATATGTCAACTTACAAAAAAAATACTATGTTGGATGCTATCTGAGCTGTCACTGACACAGTTACTAGAGGGGTTAAGAGTTTTCCCTTTTTTACTGTATTTGTTTATTTTTTATTTATTTTTCTTCTATCTTGCCTATAAAATGCAGTCACTGAAATCTCCAAATCTGCTCTTGCATTGTTTGGATTTTGAGGCAGTTCAATTGACTGATTAATGTCCAAATACTTTCTAATACTTTTGCATATTTTTGGTTGTATTTTTTCCAAATTGGTACAACAAAAATCAATTTGTTCCATAGCTACAACAAATAATAATTTTGTATAATTTGTTCAGAGTTAAAGGTGCACTATGCTGCCAGGAAAACAAACTTGTTTTCCTGGCACTATGTAGTCCTTAGGTCCTCCCCCCCCCCCAACCCTCAACTGCAGGGATAAGACCTGGGTGACCTGGCACCCAGACCACTTCATTGAGCGGAAGTGGTCTGGGTGCCTATAGTGGTCCTTTAAATATAATTATTTTATAATTTGTAAAAAAAAAAAATATTTATCAGTATTGAATGAACAGCATGCTAATGTGGACCATTTAACATTTCAATGATTTCATGTAATTGCTTCACAATCTATTTAGAATATAAATGAACAAGGCCATGTGTATTTTAAAAATCTTTTTTCTTTAACAACTCAAAGAAAACTATTATTTGGTCCTTTCCTTCATATAGTCTTAATTGTTTGCCATTTAAAAGCTTTTATCTGTCACATTGAAATATTCCAAGCAGTGTTTACACATAACACCCTGGTAGTATTAACAGGTGAGGTCCAGTCTTTAGTGCTGTAAACAAGTCTTCTGATAACAAGGGTAAATCTAGGGATCACTTTTGATTAATGAGCAAAAGAATTGAGCTAATAGTGTTAGTATATTGTCTCTTCTCAGACCTTTCCTTTTCTTTCTTGATGACCAAAGGTCATGCCAAATCAGAGAAAGCTACATTTTTGGTAGAATGCAGTTTAGCTATAACCCTCATTCTCCCTCATTCTCCCCAAGAAAGCATTTGGTTTCTCATGGGTTGGTTAAGAATTACGAGTAATCTTAGATCACCTCTAAGTGCTGCAATGCGAGGATTGTCCCTCACCAGCTGCAATCGCCACTCAGTTTTGACTAGCAGATATCTGAAGTCCCACTGGGAGTCCTGATACGGCAGAGCCTGTTTGGTTCTGGCAGCCAAGAGTGCCGTGCAAAGCCACCTCGAGTACCATGGATGGCACACGTGCCCTAGGTTGCTGACCCCTGGAATAGTTAGGCATGGTTCTACACTTGAAGCAATCGCCATTGAATTCAATGGCATCAGCCGGAACATTCCTCTGAATTCCATATGGTCTGCTCCACCTCTATAACTCTGCCCAACTTTCTATTAGCAGACCTTATGTTAACCCACCTCGCACACCCTTCCCATGGTTCAAGGCTTCCTGGAGCCTTAGGGATGGATCTCTGTTTACTTTAAAATGTTTCCATAGCCAATCAGAATTCTCTAATCACTTTATCTAATTCACTAACCTCTATTTCACCTGTAGGTTTACTGAAATTTAAATTGGTATACATTTTGCAATATTTCCTCAATAGTTTTCTTTTATATGTTTATAATATATTGATTGCAAGGTTGATTGTATTGCAAGTTAAGTTTCAATCATTCCTATCACCCACACTCACACTATACACTAATACAGGCATAGGCAACCTTCAGCACTTCAGATGTTTTGGACTACACCTCCCATGATGCTTTGTCAGCATTATGGGTGTAAGAGCATTATGGGGGATGTAGACCACAACATTTAGAGTGCCGAAGGTTGCCTATCCCTGCACTAGTATGTTAAATGGATTAATTTATTGCACAGCACTTGACAGTAATACAGCGGCAAGTAATCAACAGATGAAATAATGCTGATATTGACACTATTTTGATATGTACATATCTAGTGATAACTTTCAGAATGCACCCTGCTTTACTTTCAGCAAACAGTTTGGAATATCAGTTGCTATATATACACTGTTTGTTCACTCAGCTCTATACACAAATAGTATGAAGTTGTCCCTGCTCATATGATACTGTTGTATTATTAGCTGATTACATAATACCTTTGAGTACAACTCTAAGGTCAAATGTATAGATAGGCAAAAAATACGTTGTCATATGTGGGACCATTTCATCAACCCGTTAACCCCTTACAGTCCATGCACCTATTGCAGGGGTGGTTATTCTACTAATACTAATAACTGGACACATTTTTTCACAAAAGATTTTTCTTCCAGTAGGTAAAAAAAGTTCCAATCGCTGCAAGGAGATCTAGATTTTCCAGTAGGTAGAATATGTATTTGGCACTTATAATCTGCTTCTATAACACACCTATATACAATTTTAGGCTAAAATCCATGAACTGAAACCATAGGTGACTAGGAGAATTTCTCCAATTCAGCTATTCAGCCTATAATTTTCAATTTCTGGTCATTCCATGGCCTTTCACATTTTAATAATAACACAGTCATCAAATGACTTTTCCCTGCTAAATCCAGTTCATTATGATGTGAGCCTTATTACAGGAATATATATTTTAGTTTGGGATGGGTTGAGGACCATCTAAGAATCATGAGATTAAAATTGTTGGTTGAGTTACACACAAATTTGCCCAGAGGCAGGAATTCTCATTTTCACCTACCTCTTGTTAAGAGCTAAAGGTTCCTTATTTCACTTTACTGTTAATTTTCTCTGGGAAGGAAGGTTCATAACAAGTCGAAGAAAGGCTGTTCATTGCAATTTATAATCCAATTTGCACGTATTTCTATGTAATGAAGTTATCTTCACTGCAGAACTGCAAGGCATTCTCCTAATTATCTGCTATACTAGGAATTTGTTACTAATTATTCACTAATTAGAATGCGTACGCGCACATACACATATACTAAGCACAGGGACACTATCCAATATAAATGATAATCAAATCTGCTCCAGTTACTAAATAAACACTTCTCTGCAGCTGTTCTGGAACTGCCAAACCCAGAAAGACATAAGACAGGCAAAGAATCATGGGAGTTGTGTTTCCAGAACAACTGGATGTATATATTTTGGGCAACCTTAATTTAATCTCTTAAAGACCTGAAATGGTCAACACAATAACAAGGATCTTATCTCAGTCAGATGACGATTACAGGGTGGTATTATTAATATTACTATTTATAAAGTGCCATGTTCTGCAGTGCTGTACAATGGTACAGAGCTGTCGTTGATCAATAAACTGGCCAATTCATGCTGGCATAAGGTATTTAAGTATCAAATATCATGACAGCAAAAGTGCAATATTTGGTCATTAAAGGGTAAATGTTTGTCAGATGTAAACTGTTTATCAGACATCCTTGGAAACTTAACTGTGAATTAATGCTCATAGTTGTGAGATCCATGGAAAACTATATCCTTGATGAAACACAGATTACTTCCTGTAATTTCAGACATAATTATGCAGAGAGCAGTGTGCATGGTGCGTGCTCATCACTGCGTGTACAGAACTACTGTAAGCAGGGTTATGAGCTGCTTGGAATGCTGTCATATCCCATGAGAACGGACTTGGACTTCCCTTGCACAGTTCTTGGACTTTGGTGACTCATAAAGAAAATGGTATGTGTGTGACACGTTGTAATGAACTGCCATCAGGTACTTGATATTGTTCATTAATCGAGCATCTGTATATTTTTAATTCCAGGAAATAAAAAGACAGAGGCACAAAAGTGACCTAATGAATTACTCAAAAGCTGATTCATCTCAAACATGCAGCGATGGATGAAATGTTCCCTTTTCTCCATTTTAGTGAATTCTCTATCTGAAAGAGATAATGTTAACTCCTGCTTTAAATGGAGCTTATCGACATATTAAGATTACAAAATCGCACAAAACACACATTTTTTTTCATAAAGCTACAACAGGAACTGAGCAGGAAACTATTATTATTATTGGACAAAAGCTTAAAGAAAATCAGTAGTTTGTCCTTTGGTAAATCCCCGCTCAGGTCTCAAAATAGTTCTTGCTCACATGTGCCATTACAGAGAGAACATATATGAAGCATGTCAGACTGGTCCCGTCAATACGGGCAGTCCAGAACCGAAATGCCAGCAAATTCTCTCTGCACAAGAGATACAGCAACCCCAGACGATCGTTTCGGCCTCCAGTCTAAGTATATGCATTTGTAGAATGAATGGTTTGGAAGGCTGTGGTCCCTCAATTTTGGGTACATTTTCTAGCTGTTTGACTAAAACTGAGGTTCTTGAGGCATCTAGAGCCTGGCCTCCTGCCTCACTGGAAATCGAATTGGTCAGCAATACCGATTTCAGGGATAAAGAACTCTTCAGCTGACATGACCCACTGTAGACTTTTCATGTGTGAAGCACCCAGTGCAAACACCAATATTGGTTTCCTATGCTGCAGATCGAGTTCTTGTTCCAGTGCGGACATCAATAACAGTAAATAGGAAATCTCATCACTCACCAGAATAAGTGGTTTAATGGTGGTTTATTCGGTCATCACAGAAGGGCAATGTTTCAACACTAAGTGTCTTTTTTCAGCCATTTCTCTAGGAAGACACTTGCGATGTTGCACTTCTGTGATGATCGAATAAACCACCATTAAACCACTTATTCTGCCGAGTGCTGAGGTTTGCTATGATACAAGGTGGGGCACTTAGCTCAGAAATTGCTCATGAAATTCCTTAGCAAATCTTGTGTTAAGAGTGAATTAAATAAATTACATTATCTGCAGGATGTTTATACAGTCAGCGGACAAAGGGTTAAAAATTAATATAGATGATTAAAATGATGTACACCAAAACGTATTATCGATTCGTATTTTCTACTTAGGTCCAACATACTCCTCAGTCTACTAAATGAGTCAGTGGTGCTTACTGGGGTGAAGGAAAGAACTGTCACCCTAAGATTGTCAGTTCCCTTTTAATTTCCCCCCCAAAAAGCATTGCCATATTATTGTGCTTTTAAGATTTTAGATTTAAGGCCTTTGAGTGAACTGCTATATGTATTTTGATTTTCTGTTTATAAATACCAGATAAAAGTCTGTCCTGGGTGTGATTCAAATTTGCATGTGTGCTCAACTTTAGGAGAAAGGACAACAGCTGTGTCCTCCACCAAAGTAGTGTTTCTGTGTGTGGCGAGGAGGGGGATTTGCATTGTTAACAGGCAGCATGGAATAGCAGAAGTTAAAGGGGGAAGGGTGATTGCTGCAGAAATGTTAGGAAATAAATCATTCCAAAATAATTAATTCCATAGTATTTCACTTGCTCCATTGTCCCCAAGTTTGTATGACTGAAAGCAGGCTGCTTGCAGCTACTACATTGGATTTTCTGTCAATCAATTGAATTATTGTCACACATTTTACCTACTGCGTTTATTTGTTTAGATTTTTATATTGATTATAAAAATAAGTCACCTACAAACGAACGGTAGGTATTTAGCTGCTTACAAGAGTTTATCTGGAGACTAAACTATATTTTTACTGAATTATCCAACAGAAAATACATTCATTAGAGATATATAGAAATATTCGTTAATAAAACGAACACAAACAAGTACTCTTGAACATCCTAAAAACATTGCACTTTATGTATGTTTATTAAAAGTTATTAACATAACTAAACATATATTGCATGTCTAAATAGCACCAGCCTTTCTTATCATTGAACCAAATTGCTAAAAAAGAAACTTCTGAGTACATTTATTTCACACAGATTTTCTAATATTTGGCCACACGGGGGCGCATCTTCACTGTATATCTGGCACTTGAGAGCAATATCTGTGCAGGTTAGATTAGGAAACAATACCAGCTCCATGTGTGCATAGCTGTGTACTCATGAAATATCTGCTCAAGCAATAAATGCAAATGCTGTCAATATTTCATCCTTTCTGGTGGTGCCCTGATTCCTAGTTGGCTGTTGCTGATTTTATGTGCAAAGTGGTGCGCCCCCCCCACCTCCCCACCCCCTTCTAATAATTCTAGAAATATACTTTAGGAAAGAGGAAACTGTTTAATATTCAAAGTGGTCTGAAAACTTTAATTGAGGATGAGAATCAGTCAACGAGAGCCTATTGTAGCCCTCCCAAAAAGCTAATTCAAAACAAAATTTAGAATCTCATTTGTTGCTATTCTATAAGAACACTGGGTGTCTGGACAGCACTGATCTGCTATAGTCAAGGAAATCTCTGTCTTTGAAAATAATCTGAACAAGTCCTTACAAGTCTCCACCAAATGCTTCCCTTATCTCACTCATTGTTTAATTAAGGAAAACTAAAATCCCATTAGGACCAGAAAAAAATGGCAAGGTGAAAATTGTCCACTTCCTAGAATAACTTCTAAAATACTGTATGTACAATTCCAGGAAATAATCTCAAACATAAATTGATTTCTAAATGAGATGTGAAGTATGCACCTCGTTTTAGAGATGTCTGCATTTCCTGTATATTCTCTGAGTAGCTTACTGAGATTCATTTATATTCCCCAGTACCAGGAAACTCTGCTGGCAATAAACTGGATTTAGGAAATCAGATTTTTTTTGCTGACCAGATCTGCTTTTCTGTATATGTGAGTGTGGGTTATTTGAGGGTGTCAGATGTTTTCCTCCATTGAACAAGGGATTTCAGGACAAGTTGAGGCAAGTGTTTAAGGCACAAGGTTAGATGTGGTCAGCCTTGTATGACCAGCCACGGACACAAGGTGGCGCTACTTTATCAATCATTAGATGAAAGCGATTCCTAGCACAGGCAGTGTTGAATAATGTTCAATACCAGGAAAACATCTCTAAGCAGTAAACATGGGAGCTGGAAAGAAAGTTATTATTGGCAGCTATGCAAAGTTCCCCTTCTGCAGAACATTATCACAACCTTTCTACTTGTTTGGAAAAATAAAACTTGAACATTAACCCATCAATTGCTGGGCTAGCTCGGAAGCTCATCTGATACATATGTTGCAAGCTCTCGCAATCGAATAGAGTAAAAGGAGTCTTGTTTATGCACTTTCTTACAATTTTCAAATAAATGATCAACATGTATGTAATGAAAAAAGAACGTGTTGTGGAATGAAAGCTCCGGTGACTATTTGATTTGTCTGCTATAGTGCTTACCTCTCTGTCTAGAAACTCCAGGATTCCACTGTCGGTGGTTTACATTCTTCTAAGTCTAGCCTTGTCTAGCCTGATTCCATGTGTCAGACAGCCCATAACAATAATATCGCAATTTATTTTGGGGGGGCCTTGCATGCAGATCAGTACAGTGCAAACCGATTTCTAGTGCTGGATTGCATGTAACTATCTTAACGCTGCACAAAAACAGCATTGTTTTCTAATGATTGATATTAAAACAGTGGCACACATTCTGTGCATATAGATGTGCTACGCGTGCAAGCAAAACCCCCTGGGACTTTTTTTTAGCCAGTATAATGGCAATCAGTGCTTACATGGTTAAAGGGAGCAGGGAAGCCCCGAAACATAATGAATAGTGTTTAAAGGGGATAGGGGGTTGGAGGCAGACTTTCATATGGAGCAGGTTGCTAAAATCCATTTAAACTGCACTTCCCCCTTAGCAGATCTCCCCCACTCCAGTGGCAGGTGGATGATATCTGCAGAAATAGGAAAAAAGACTGATTGTCTGATGTCCAAACTGCCACACGCCAGATCTCTCCGCTATTGTGTGACTCCTATACAAATGCTAAGTAGCAGCGTGTGCCATGCACAATCTGCTCATCACAACCCCCCATTAGAATTGCACACTCGAGCCTCTATAATTAAAAAAAAAAAAAACTTGCACAGCAACCCCCTCCCCCCCCATTTATTTTCCATAAGTTACAAAATGTATTTTTATTTCTCCAAGATATAGTGCTTGCAGTCATGGGTGCCCTCAGTGGGTTAAAAGATGCAGGTTGATTGTAGATGCTCCTATATAGAACAAATAGTATGTTCTGCTCTGTACTGCACATAGATCACAGTGCACTATGAACACACAGTGTGTACACAGCTCAGGAGTGAACACATTCTGTTACGTGTTTGGGGTATCTCTGGGCACAATGATACACATGGAAAGTTTACTGGGCTTTTTGATGTCCTCTCTTTACTCTTGTAAAAAAAAATAAAGATCAGATCTGAAGGCTCCAGTCTGCCTGGTAACAGCATTACAAAGGCTGCAGACTTGAGTCATTGTACATATCCCCCCCACACCCTCCCTGTGCGCCCACCCTAGGGACATACATTCTGCCCCTCATGTCAGCCCCCTCCCCCACATGGCCTTCTGGCACGAGCCACAACGTTCTGTCTCTTCATTATCATTACAATGCTTTCCCCTACAGCCAATCACAGAGGTGGAGTGGCAGTAGCCCCGCCCACTCCTTTCTCGCTATATATATGAGCGTTCGACGCTGAGAATACACTGATCTCTTTGGATTGACTTGATACAACATTGCCTTCTTGGACTATTACTCGAGCCCAGCACTTCAGCCTATTGCTCTGTGGATATTTGCCATCTCTTTGCTTTTACACATCCTCTCGGAATACTTGCATTCAGCTCGAACCATGACTCTGGAAGAGGTTCACGGACAGGACACCGTTGTTGAAAGCAGTGACAGGTAATTATCTGCCTGCCTTGCTGCATTTTACTGGGATTTATTGCGGTTTTATTCTAGAACTCTATATGGGATGCAGAGATGGGAATGATCCGGCTTTACAAATGCATTGGGAGCTTCAGGATTAGAGCGATATTTTGTTGTTGTTGATTTATTGCATATATCATAATGTAGTTTAATATTTTTTAAATGTAGACTTGCATTGCGATCTACATGTGAGATCAGCCTATTCAGCTCCAGCATTGCCTGTCTATGCAATAAGGCTGTCTGTGTGTTCAGAGCTTAGTCTGCACATTCCATATAAGGAGCTTTAGCACTTAGTCTCTTTTTAGAAATCTGTTTATTTTCTGTTGCTTGCATGGTTTTTACTAAATTAGCCCAGATTTTAAATGCATGTTATTTTTTATATCTTATGTAGGATGCACAAAGCTGGCAAAGCCCTGCACGAATTGCTGCTCTCTGCCCAGAGACAGGAGTGTCTGACCGTTGGAGTCTATGAGTCTGCCAAAGTAATGAATGTGTAAGTATCTAACTCCCTTGCATAGATCCCACGCACACCCATTACTCATGCACACACGCAAAACACTACCCCTACACAGATCTACACTTGTGGCTTCCTGGCAGCAGAACTAACCGTTTTTTTTTATATTTCTTCTCTTTCTACAGAGATCCTGACAACGTCACATTCTGTATTCTGGCAGCTGATGAGATTGACGAGGGTGACATTGCCTTGCAGATTCACTTCACTCTAATCCAGGCTTTCTGCTGTGAAAACGACATCAATATTGTCAGGCTGAATGACACAGAAAAACTAGCAGAAATTCTTGGAAGCACGGATGATTCCGGAGAGCCCAAAGATCTGCATTGCATCCTTATTACGGTAAGTGTCTTGTTCCTGCTTATCTTTGCTGACTTGGCTGAGTGCCTTTTGGCTGTGACTTGACTGTTTTCTTTTGAAACGATGTACTCATGAACTTTTTGTTCCTCTTCTTTTCTCAGAATCCCAACGAGGATGCCTGGAAAGATCCTGCTTTAGAAAAACTTGGTCTATTCTGCGAAGAAAGTCGCAATCTTAACGACTGGGTGCCTTCTATTGCACTGCCAGAGTGAAGGACTAATTTGGGCATTAGATTGGGAAATCTTTTCTGCATTCTTATCATGGTGTTGTGCACCTGGATGGGCCAGCAGCATTCCCAGAGTGGGGATTACGCTGGTTGAAGTTGGATTATGCCGCTGAGACTGGCGAGAAGTTGGCTCTTGTGGAGCAATAGAGTAAGGTGGAAACTTGAAGAAATTGAGTGGTTCATACCAACTGGTGCAAAGCCTTATACCACAGGACTGGCACTGTTGGGGCAGTCAAACATTGTGGACCGAAGTAGAATTTTGCATTTATGCTGGCTTGGTGGAAGTGCCGTCAGTGGAAAGTTTTAAGATGGGCATTCGGTAACAACTAGCTGAAGAGCGACAACATATTCTGAACTGTTTTTTTGGAGCTTTCTGGCATGCTCAGACTGTGAAACACATTAAAAGAGGATGAATTCTGGACTATTGCAGCAGTTGAGACTTTAAGTGCTGCTCTGCAGCTTAGAAATCCTATACAGTGCAATACCATCTATACTGCTGTTTGAAGACTGTTAACATCATTCATTTTGTAACCTGGCACTGTTCTGAAATACTATATGAATTCGTTTTTTAACACAGATACTGGTGTTAATTTTCAAATATGTACTTCAATAAAAAAAAAAAAAAAATTGAAACTTTATTTCCGTTGTCTGCTTGAAATAATTTTATCTTGAAACACTTGGGTCAGTAACATAGGCTACTACTGGTATTCCCTAAAAGCAAATTTTTTTTTTTTTTTTTTTAAATCCGTGAGTCTAGCTGCAGCCTTTGTTAAGTGCACATTATCTGGCTTTCATGAATAGACCTTGCTGCTACAGAAAAAAAATTAAGACTGGGGGAGCCTAGTGCATTCTATTCATGGTGTTCAACTGACCTCTCAGACTTTGTACAACAGCTGCTTATCGGAACAGCTTGCAAGACTAAAGGGGCTGAATGTCTAATGAGTGCGTTTGAGCTGATGGTGTATAGAAAGATAAGACTTTACACTACACAAATTGGGATTTTCTGCAGCTGGCCCTGTGCCAGGGATTATCCTGCAGCCAGCACTGAATAGTAGTGTTTCCCCCACCCACTTTTTTTTTTTTTATAAATTAAAAGTGTGTGTGTGTGTGTGTGTGTGTAAAATATCCACATACACATCTCCAGATGCATGTTTCCAATAAACTGGATCTTTGTACTTAATAGTTAATGTAAGCAAATAGTGGTTTCCACACAGGGTGTTCTGTATTACATATTCTTGAACAAATAGCATTAAAGACACAGCCCCCTTATAAATGCAGATTTAGTCCTGTTTTCCCAAAGCACTACTTTGCACACATTGTGCCTTTATATATGCATTATGTCCCTACACTCGTTACTGCCAAGAGTGGAAAGTAAGTTGTGGAACAAAAAGTTAGTGACGGAATAGTATCCTGGAACAATCTCTGGTATTGTAATTTAAAGAATATTCTGACGGAGGAGGCTCGGTTTGTGTACACAGCTACTGTGTTCTAAGAAAAAGGTCAGTATGTTCTGCTTTAGGAGCAAGAAGAAACCAATTTTCCTAGTAGAAGAAAATGTCAACTCTTCTGATTAAAGAGGTACACCGTGCTTACCCTACCAAAGGCCAGTGCTGTAAATCCTGCTTATCATATGTATTTTAGACTAATGCTGGAATACAAGTCTTCAAAACAATGGTTTACCACAATAATAGAGAGGTGTTCTGTTCTAAAGCAGGTTACGGACTGAATTAATTCGGCATGAAGCACATGCAATGGGCTTTAAAACCCAAAAGACTACAATATCTGATCAACCTTAGAGAATGAATTATTCAAAATTCTCTTTAAAACACCATCACTTTTTCAGTAGGCCAAGTCATGCATTGCAATATAATTATACATAAGTAATATATCTTTTCTGCTACTGTTGCTGTTTAAATGTCTTGCAGAGGTTATCCATCAAAATGATTTGGACAGTTTAAGGGATTAGTCTTGGGCTAGGTCCTAGGACATATATAATATAGGAACAGTTGGTAAAAACTATATAATAAGTGCAATAGGTTTGCTGGCCATACACTATAAGCCAATTGTGACCTACTTCGAGATATTTCAAGCAGCTTTTAACTCCGCTTTGGAGACCCGAAAAGAGGGGATTGTAGAATTCCCCCAATTACATATCACATTTGAAAAATTAAATTAAAGGAAAAAAATGCAAAGTTTTATATAAGCCCTATGTGGGCTGTTTTACACATCTTGGCAAACCACTGAATGTGGGCCTAGTTGTATTCACTTTTTGTTTTTTTAGAAAGCAGCCTTTAGCTTGCCATTAAATGACAGATTATTCATCAATTCTGGTTTCTACTGCCATATGCACATCAACGAATTTTCATCAGCTGTAAAACAGCTCTAATCAGCTATGAATCAGAGTACCAATGGTTGCCTGTCTATTTTTTGTAAACCTGTGCCTGGCCTGCCAGCACCCTGTGTCTCCTGGAATGTGTTTTGGCTTATCCATGCTTGCAGCCATGTGTTGCGTGTCCTGTGTCTGTGTAACATACATGTATATGTTGGTGTGAATTGCTACCTTTATTGATACATAGTGAAGCCAGTCTATGCCTGCCAACTGTCCTGATTTTGGTGGGACAGTCACAGTTTTGTAGCTCTGACCCACCGTCCCAGTGAGACAGATATCTGTCCAGCTTATCCCTGCCTTAAAAAATCTATTTTAGTATAAATATAAAGTTGGATAAATACAAGAAATGGGTAAGTGGCGCTAAAAATCTAATAAAATATATAAAAATAGTATATCCCAGTGCGTCTAAACACAACCCAGTGTTATGTTACCAAAAAACACTTACATGAACGAATGGGTACAGAACAAAAAGGTGATTTGCGCACACAATGTTATATAGAAGTTACTGTATTTATATCTGCAAGGTATAATCATAAAAAAATCCATCATAGGGCAATATGTATGTTCAAAATATAAAATAGAAAGTAGCTTGTAGCACTCACAATATAAAGAGCCATGTAAGTCGGCTCTAAACTGTGATGGCGTGTTCATACATCCAATATTGGTACTGGAAAAGAGATGCAGGTCCCCCAGGAAAATAACGGTATTCGTCTGGATGATAATACAGGAACCAGGTATAAAATGCAAGATTGCTCTTTATTTCGATAAAACTATAGCACAACGCATTTCGACCAATACCCCTTGGTCTTCCTCAGGTGCAATAATAACAAGTAAATACTATAAGCTTATATACCTTATACAATAAATGTAAATAAAACACACATGTACACACTTAACAATGTCCCCACCCTTCTGGTCCATATATGGAAGTTCTGTTTTTTCTTGTCCTCTTCTAATATGGAAGACAGCCGATATTTCCTATGTTTTGCCCGCTGGCCAGCACAGGCCTGCCAGTAACCTATCCTAATATAACTTCACTTTTCCCAAAAACCTCAGACTAGTTTTGTGTTTGGTATGTAGTAATTTATGCAGTCATCTTTGGTTTGGTCATGTATACCTTTTTACAATACTCCCTGCTGCCTGCTGGGCCTGATACCTGCAACTCTCCAACTCTGCTTACATCCCAGTCTCTATCTTTGGGCACCTGCTTCCCATGATACCATGACGCTTTCCATTTCTTAATAGGGACACCTGCTTCCTGTTTCTTATAGAGAAGCACCTGCTTCCTCATTCCAATATTTCCCCTGTTCCATCTGATACAACAGTTTCTGAAGAATCTCTTTCTTGGTTTGCATGTGTTCCACACCCTACCCTTGCACATTTTATTATACAATGTATAATAAAAGTACCGTTAATGATTACAGCAATCTGTGTTATACAGCTACCAGTTAACATGCCCATACCATAGCGTTTCCAAATGATTTTCGTCGCCGGTCAGATGATCCTTGGTTTTACTATTTGTATTTACAGATACTGACATAATGCACAGTGCTGTACAGTGGGTAAATGAAACATAAAAATGATTTTGATAAAACAAATTAGGTACACAGAAGATGTGACCATGGCCAACAGCAAGTGCACATACCGTAAATCAGGTCCTGCAGTGTAAGCCACACTGTATCAAACTTTTTGTACCTTGAGATCCACTTGTTCACTTACCTAACAAATCCTATACTGGTAAACTATAAGTGGGATTCTATGTCATATCATGTTATACCTTGAGTAGAAAGCAGTGTAAATAAATATTTTGCACGATAGAACAGAGTTTGCAGAGTATTACAGGGCCAATCCAGACCTACTAGATGCAATATTAGGATACAGTTATGCAATCTTATTTGATCATTTTATTTTTACTTTTTTACAAATATTTTTTTTCTCTATAAACTTCCTTAATCTGTGCCTCCCATATACCCACTTTAAAGTTGTACATTTTCTGTGAAGAAATCTATCATATAAATAATTAATTACTTGCTATAGAAATGTTATTGGAAAATCATGAAAAGCTGACCCATAGCTCCCAAATATCCGATTCATGACATTTTGCAGAGCACTAAATTTGGAGAATAAAAGAGAAACACTTCAGAAAGGAGGGACAGAAAAGGTGAGCGTACGAAACAAAACAAATAATAAAACAAAAAAATGAAATCAGTAATTAAAAACAAACACCTGGGGGGGCGTGGCCAGCTGAGCAACTAACAAGACGTGCTGGTGTGGAGCTCCGGTTGAACACACTAATTAAGACGCAAAATTACCACGTATCTGCAGCAAACTGCTCTGAAAACCAGATTGCTATTGACCCTGATGGGGTGAAAACACAAGAAAACAACTGGCCTGGAGGGCTCCTATCTGCCTGATATTAGGCTATGATAGGCCGCAAAAGCCTAAGATGGCGCAGGGTAGGCACCAAAGTTCAAGTGAATCAGAGGCATCTGCTTACGAAGAGGGCCCTCCGACTACACAGACCGCCAACGCAGTATACCGGACAGAGGACTCTGACGACTCACCCTCTACAAAAGGTGATATTAAAAAGCTATGGCTCAACTTACGTGAGGTGTGGAAGTCGGATCTGGATGGGGTCCGTTCTGAGATGACCGGCATTACCACACGACTTGGTGCGGTTGAGAACCAAGAAGGGGGAAAGAGACGCGCTACTTACCGAGACCCAAACCCAAGTGACTTCCCTGTCTCAACAACTCCAACGACTTACCTGCACTGTGACAGCGATGGAAGCTAGGCACCATAAGAGAAATATCCGCATCCTTGGAGCACCTGAAAATGTGAGCCCAGAGACCTTGCTGGAATTTACTAACAAAGTGGCGATCACGATGGGAGCAAAGAAAAACGGGGAAGCATGACCCATCACAGCGGCATTCAGAATCCGGAAGGCCATGGCGGCTCCCGCTGACGCACCCAAAGACATTATTGCCATCACCCGGGTTTATCTTGGTTAAAACAGCAATCCTGGCCCAATCACGGAAGGCACCTACCACTACAGTGGATAACTTCCACATCCAGGTATTTGCAGACCTACCATTCTCAACTCTGTTAGAAAGGAGAAGTTTCATGTCAATCACCCAGCAGCTGCGAGACCTTGGCATCAGATATCGATGGGGAGTGTCCGGCACTCTAGTGGTACCACATGGTGACAGAATTCTCTCACTGTCCGCAGAGGAGGACCCTAAGAACTTT